GCAGCAGCAGCTGCCTCCTTGGCTTGGCCTGGCTGGAGCTGAAGTGGGGGAGGGTTTGGAACAGAGCTTCCTAGCCCCACGGGCCCAGGCTGGCTCCCCCGAATACTTTAGCCAGGTTAGATGGGGGGGCCCACAAGGCAAGGGGGCTCTGTTCCACCCTGTCCCTCCCCCCCACCTCCAGCTCCAGCCAGGTCAAGCCCAGATGGCAGCTCCATGCTGCTCCTTCCCCATCTCTCTCCCTCCCACACTGACAGCCCCAGAGCTGGGGGTTGCTGGGCAGAGGGACAGTTCAGCAGCTTCCTTGGGGGCTGCTGGAGCACCCTCACCTCCTGGCCAGGGCTGGTACAGGCAGGCTCAATCCTCCCTGACCCAATAGTTGAACATCTGCTGGGTTGGGGAGGGAGGTGCTCTAACTCATGGCACTTTGTATAAAGCACTAAGAGTTAAAGCAGGGCTCCTAAGCATCTTTAGGCATTCTTAGGTAACAAAGCTGACTCATTAAAGAAAAGGTTATGATGAACTACTGAGGGAGACATAAAGAGCTGTTAAATTTATCTACAGGTTTTGTCTTCTAGTAGCTTTAGGTAAATAAAAGCCAATGAGAAAGTCCAAATCACTACAAAGGGATTTCTTAGGCTATGTCTACACTATAAAGTTGTACGAGTTTAACCATACCAGAAGAGTTAGCAGTACCACCCCTTGTGGGGACTCTGTTATAATAGCCTAAAGGTGTTTTATATCAGTATAGCTTTGTTGTTCAGGAAGGGGAGCGTGCTATAGAAGTATGACACCTTCATAAGTAGAGTTGTAACAGTATAACTGCATTTCTAACCAAAGCATTATATCAGTACAAAATCTATGCAGAGAACAGTTAACGTGATGGACACTACTCAGTAATGAAATGAAGGCACTGCCTTGGCGATCACCATTTAAAGGCTTTTCTGAAAACACAGGGTCTGACCACTTTACATTGTGTAAACAGGGAGTAGGCGTTGACCTCAATACCTGGGAAGTTACTGGAGTATATCCTAAGGAAGGTCATTTGCAAGCATCTGGAGAAGCAAAGACTGATCATAAGCAACCATCATGGACTTATGAAAAACAAGTCATGTCAAACAAAAATTATTTCCTTCTTTCACAAAGTAACTACTTGGGTGGATGATGGCAATGCTATGGATATAGTGTACCTGGACTTCAGAAAGACTTTTGACAAGGCCCCACAAGACATTCTCATAAACCAGGGGTTTTCAACCTTTTTAAATAAGTGTACCCCCAGTGGCCCCCTTTTTAGTAAGTGTACCCCTGGGGGGTGGCACTCAGCCGGACGCTGAGCAAGGGGAGGGGGGTGGCGAGCAGGGGTGTGGCAAGCAGCAGCAGCACAGCATCTGTGGGGCCATGCTCTCGCCCCGCCCTGGCCCTGCTCCTGTGAGGCAGTGGCACGGGGTGGCAGAGCTCCGTCCCTGCCTGCCCTGACACCTTTCAAAGTACCCCCAGGTGTACGTGTACCCCTGGTTGACAACCCCTGTCATAAACAAATTGGAGAAATGTGGGCTAGATAAAACTACCATAAGATGGAAAGATAATGGCTCACTAGCCTCAAGCAAAGTGTAATTATTAATGGGTCCATGTCAGAATGTCTGGAGGTTTTGAGTGGAGTCCCACAGGGGTCTGTCCTGAGCCTGGTGCTGTTCAACATGTTTATTAACAGTTTGGATGCTAGCATAGAAAGCTTCTTGAGCAAGTTTGCAGATGACATGAAACCAGGAAGGATTGTAAATACATTCCAGTATGCCAGCACAAATCAGAAAGGTCTGGACAGATTGGAAAGTTGGGCTAGAGCTAACAGGATTAAGTTCAATGCACACAAAAACAAGGTACTGCACCACAGGAGGAATATTCAAAAACGCAAATATAAAATGGGTGACACGTATCTGGATAGCAGCACTATCGAAAAGGACTTAGGAGTCTCAGTAAACCACAGCTTCCATACGAGTCTGTAGTGTGATTCAGCCACACAAAAGTTGAATGCAGTTTTGGGGCTCATCAACAAAAACGTTAGGTGCAAGACACAGGAGGTGACAGTGCCTTTCTACTCATTACTAGATAGGCCTCATCTGGAATACTGTGTGCAGTTCTGGGCTCCACGTTTTTAAAAGGATGTGGGCATGGGTGACTGGTGCCACCTTACTCAGGGGGGCACATGCTACCACAGTGACCACGGCGGGGGTCCCCCCACGGCCGATCTCACTCACTGGCTTCCAGAAGTGGCCACGGTTTTGGCTACAGCCAAGGCTGGGACTTTGACTGGGGTGTGGCAATCCCCCTGCTGGGACTAAAATCTGGAGGTGCCTGACTAGAGGGTCTTGCCTGTCCACTCAGGATCAAACCAACCTACATATTTGAGGTCAGGAAATAATTTTACTCCAGGGTCATATGAACTATGAGCCCGGGGGGTTGCCTTTCTCTGTAAGTGTGGCCCTCTACTCAGGATCTCTTGAGCATATTGTCGCAGGGCACCTCAGTGCCTGCTCCTAGGGAGTAGAAACTGCCAGGGAGAGAAAGCCCTGGCAGAACATAACCACAGCTGTGGGTTGCCAAGGCAGCTAATGTGAGTCAGCTGGCCAGAAGGGGGCAGGGCCTGGCCCTCATAAAGCCCAGGGCTGAGGCCAGGCTGGCAGTTCCCTGCTAGCAGCCAGAG